AACCATTTTGAATAAGCCAGTTCACGGTTGCAGTCTGAGCATGAGCAGATAAAGGTCATTGCAGAACAAATTTTGAAATACACTGAGACGTTATACTGGATGCGTGCTCATGAAAGTTATGTGATCATTATTCATTCATGCACATTCAATGAACTCCATGATACACAGGTGGAAGTATTCTTTGAAAAGGGGAAACAAAGGTTATCTATATATCGCTGTCGGAGTGATTATTTCAAAATGTACAAAGTGGGACGTCTTCATGTTTTGAAGATCTGTGGATATTCGGGGTCATTGCAGTGATGTGCTAACCGTGAACTGGTCTATTCTACTGTGACGTCTAGGCATGTCTTCAATATTTACATCAGACGTACACGGGAATACACTGAGCCATAAAGCTATTCAACAACAATACATGTCCCAAACAAAGATGAGAATTACAATAATACCTCAAGAACTATTGCCACAATAGAGTATCTAAGATGTCTCTTCTCTTCAAAGCAGTGTACGAATTCCTTTCATTTCGGATTAGCGTTACAATAACAGGTGTATACTTTAATTCGCCCATTTGCCAAACAGAGCAAATCCCAGAAACTCCAGTCCTTTCGATTTAATGCAAAACGAAGGTGACTGGCATCGTTATAAGCGCTTCAATTTCTGTTTTCCCCATGGACTCTCCTCGGTAAATTGAAAGAGTTTAGGAGGCAAGGATTCTCCTCCAAACTCGCTTTATTTGTTGAAAAGGGACCACGCATTGAAATGGGCACAATAATGCTATTTGTGTTTGGAAATCGGTAGGGAACCGTGGGAAAATACAACGGGGCTCCCAAAACGGAGTTCTTCCCGTCTTCGGTGCAGTTTCTCTACATACGTTTCTAACGCGAAGGCTAGAACTGTACCTAATAGACAGTCTTCGGAGACGTCGTGTCACGGTATGTCGAAGATGAGGTCAAGCATTTCATGACAGTTTGAGTTCCCCTTCATTTTGGTCATCTTTCTCCTAATTACCATCGGGTAGTCCCTTTGGATTAAAGGTAGTAATGCGTTAAGGTATAGCGACAAAGGATATAAAAAGAGATGTCGCAGAATCAGCCACAATACACGCCTGTGATTATTAGCAAAGCGAGTTTAATTAAAGAACAGCTATTGATGATACGAGCATTCGATAGAATAATAAATTATGCATAGACAGATCAACAATGGGGGAAACTATGAAACATAGAATTGACATAGTCATTGTGTAAATGGTATCTATAGAGATCGTGCTCTTCGTGATTGATTGATCGATTGATTAATTGAATGAATATTGTATTATGAATACTGAACATGGCAGCCCGTAGACTAAATTACATTCTGTTTATTAAAAATATATAGAGGTTCATATCAATTTTTGAATAATTTATTTTTTCATAACGAGAAAACATTCAATACAGGACTATACGTTAATCAAGGTTATAATATTGTTTGTTTGTTTTACCCGATTGCTAAGAAAGCATGTGTATGATTGTAAGTAAACAAGTAAGTAAGTAAACAATCAGGGGATCGACGGCTTTAATTCTTCTCCGAGGTACGTGGTAATGAGGATTGGTGCCTTACCAAAAGGTTCTAGCGCATAGACTTGGGTTTCGAACCTAGGACCTCCACTTTCACGAGACCCTGACACTGATCAGTCGCGCCACCTTATTCCTAAACTACTACATCAGACCAATGCATCCGGACGTTGCATGGAAATTTCCCTACATGTACGTTTCGAACGCACCTTTTTCATTTTTTCGCATTTCTTTGGTATCCGAGATCACCTTTAAAAATAACTTAAAAACCCAGCGGAGAAGGGCCCTGTCCCTTCCCATTATCATATTCGCCGATAGGACGAGAACTTCCTCGAATCATTTTCGGTGAACTCTATGGTCTCTGGCATCTCTTTGTCAGTATTCTAAAGGAAACTTTACCCAGAGAGACGGACTGAAAATGATAAAGAGCTTGGAGTGCACAGCATGAAGAGGGGGTCGTTTCTTATCGGGGTAGATTATCTCCAGTCATATTCTATGGTACATGTCTTTGTCTGTGCATAAACTTTGAATTGGGCTCACAGACAGAAATTGTAGAGCTGGGTGAATAAACATAACTTTCGATACTTACATGTAAACTCGCCTATCCTGATAGAAAAACTAGCCTAAACCAAAATCTTAATTTGCACATATTTTTGGCGGGGGGAGGGGAAGGGGAAGGGGAAGGGGAAGGGGAAGGGGGGAGGGGAAGGGGGAAGGGGGAATAGAAGGGGGAATAGAAGGGAACACGGTAATTTGTAGCTACCGTCCAACATGGAATTCGAATAGCTTACATCAATTCATCGCATGATATATTTATAGAGAGGCACGCGAAGAAACACGATACGAAATAATGTTATGTTTGACCTCGTGGTTGTTATTGCCAAACAAAATAATAAAATAATAAACATGGGGCAGTGAAATCATTAATTTGATACACATGTTGACAGAATACTGAGTTGTAACGCCTGAAAGTCCGATTTCCCATATCGAGCATGTACTGCAGTCTCACTGTAAAAAGCATTCTAAATTCTATTTTGAAGGTTCAAATCCAAGCCGGCGCTATTATGCAAGGATATTAAAGGTAAAGACCAGTATTGGAAACGCCCCAATTTCAAAAAATGAAATGGAAGCTCTCATTACCAATCATGTGAAAGAATATGTTTTGACTAATACATGATGATAAAAAATTAGCCGGCAAACCGCCTACTAATTCATATATTTGGTAAATTTGTTTCTCTCATGGTCTGTGAGAGATATAGGGTAGTCCCATATACATCTTTCTGTGTATAGTGCTTGTAACTTTACGAAGAATGGGCCAAATTTCTTATCATTTTGATGATTCTAGAACCTTGCAGATGCTAGATGCTAGATGATCAACCTTTTCTGATCGATTCCACAATGTTTCTTTCACAATGCAATCGCATGACCATAACTGGTCTTTACCTTTAATCCACATTTGCCACTCTCCACCCAGGTGTTAATGGGTACCTGGTAATTGCTGGGGTATTTTGTAAGGCCCTCAGGGAGAACAGCATCGATGCTGATGGGGCTTCGTTGGATAATCAAAATTATCATCATTACGAACTCAATCATTACACTGAATATCTTGATACTACGTCGACTTGCGTGATGAATCAATTAAATATTCATCTGAGAGTGTGTCGGATCTACAAAGGCTGTTCTATTAAGACTTCCCGACTCCTGTGAAAAAGGTGTAACAGTTACAACGTCTGTTGGATACGCCTAATACGCTTCCCTAATAGCACTCATTAATATAAGTTACTGGGTTTTCCAAAGGTTCCCTGACTCAACCTAATTCATTAATTTGCATGTTATGCTGAAGACATCACCAACGCGCTTCACAACAACACATGACTCCGATAGCTACAGCTCGAGAGAAGATGCCACACAGTATTTGTTTGCACACATTGTAGGCCAGGGCATTTCCCTGAAATCATAACGTAAACTTGGAAACAAAACAAAGGGGGGGGGGGGGGGGAGGGGGTCCTATATGAAAGAACGGCAGTGAATTGCCGTGATAGTGATAAGATTAACAATATTTTTATATGATTGGCATCGACGTTTCTTGAATGATGGTTTAGACGGTATGGTTGAATGAATATTAAACCACATCGACACCAAGAAATAAGTGAGATGGAATATAAGTTATGACGAAGTAGAGTAGAAACAAAGTGAAAATCATTTTCCAACGAATGATACATGTATGATATCTATGAATTGGAGTGGACATAGAAATAAGAATGTTAGCATTGGTATCAAACCCCCTGATTGGGATAAAGTACCGCATGACAAATAGATAGACGTCATCCATCTGGTAAAACAATCTGAATCTATCTCCTTTTTTCTTTCCAAACAAATTACCAAACGAAACCTCAACAACATAAGATAATTAATGTGAATTCCCATGAATGGTAACATCAATGAACTCCTAAAGCCCCTTTCACACCGGGCAATGCGTAGAGAGTTGCGTAGTGATGCGTATCGACTACGCCGAGCCTACGCTGCCCTACGCTGGCCTACGTAACTATACGCTGAGGGACGCTGAGGGGTACGCAAGAGGACGCAAACATATAATCATGTTTAATTTTGTTGGCGTACTTTCGGTGTAGACACTAGAAGCAGAAAGTACGCATTGTTTACATTGTTTACGCAAGTCTACGCAACACCACGCAACTCTACGCAGTTCCGGTGTGAAAGAGGCTTAAGGTAACATCGTTGAGCAGGTTACTGCAGATCGCGACCTTTCGCTCGGGAGGGAAGCAGGATGGCATTGCATCCTGTACCTGCTTATAGAGGATCGCTGAGGGAAATTACCCCATGCTGCTTACAGGTATACCAACAAGACTCCATAGGGCGATGGACTCTTGGCTCCAGAGTCGTCACGTCAATCATTACAGAAATGTACAAGTAACATTCTAAAATGTGTGTGGAGTCGGACTAAATTTCCAAAGTTGAATTTCGTGAAAAATCAAAAATCCTTTATTGAGCTTGAAAGCATTACAGGATATTATTAATCCTATATTCAATGATTAACTCTACTTGTGAACAAGTTAAGATTAGGAAATTACTTTAAATAATGGAAGTGAAACAATAACAAAAAAGCTTTCAAAATATAGCATATGTAATGTTTTTGTAATTAGCGCTGGAAGTTGCTCCACCGACCTTTTTCTCCGGGCATTGTTTTGTAAAGATGTTATAGGATCAGGGTGACCATTAGGTTTCAGGTTGAGTTTAGGGTTACTTTCTGGTTACTGACAGGTCCAGAGTTGAAGTTAGGAATTCAACCAGTGTAAGAATTTTTACCTGGAGAGAATAGTCGCTGGAGCACTATTACAACTCGGTACGAATAAGATGGAATGACAACAAAATTCTAGGACTACAATCCCGTAGAAAGTTTTTAGAAAAGGTGAACAAAAATATGATCTACTATACCTGCGTCGTCGTCCTCATCTTCCACATGAGCTCCTACATCTAGATCCAAGGATCCTTCAGTTACGGCTCCTGCCTCCACTTCATTCTCTGGAACCCCTTCATCCACGAGCAGTTGTTGTTGCTCCTCTTCCACAGCTCCCAAACGTCCTTCAAACTCATCTTCAAACTCATCTTGCACAGCAGGCTCCTGCTGTAACGGCTCCGGTTCCTGCAGTAATGACTCCGGCTCCGGCTCCTGAAGTAAAGGTTCCGGCTCTGGCTGCAGGGGCTCCGTTTCTGGATTCTCCACCGAGAACTGTTCCTGTTCTCCCTCGCTCCCGCCAAGATCCAACTCAGCTCCGAGCGGGATGTAACGATCCGTGAGACGTTGGTGATCGGGTTCGTCAATGTCAAGATCTAGCGATCCTTCCGTAGCGATGTCAGCGTCGTTATCCAGGAAACCCTCACCAGCGTTGACATCTTCTGGAGGCTCTTCCGCCTCAGGGGCATCATAAACAAGAGGAGCAGGTTCCTCAACTTCTGGCTCGCCCTCATCCTCCTCCTCCTCCTCCTCCTCATGCAACTCGATATCAGGATCATTCTGAGTCGGAATATCACCTTCTTCTTCCGGTGGCGCTGACCAAATCGCTTCACTCAACCCGACATTCGAAGATCTGTTAAGATCGTTGAGCTGCGAATCGAACTCCGCTTCGAGGTCCATGTCCATTCCATTGCTGTAGTGTTCTTCACCGTCACCGTTGGAGATGGCAGGCTCAATCTCGTCCACGTCTTTCACCTTGTTAGCATTGACCTCCATCCCGAACTCGCCATCAAAGTCCATACTAACGGGATAGTCTCCCCCGTCCATGGTTCGTCTTCACGTGGGGCTAACGCGTCTCAGCTTATATCTAGAAAGGGAAGAGAGTATACAAAAAGAAGTCAAATTAGCTCAAACTGAAGGTCGACATCCGAACAATAAGGATGCACAGCGAACAAGGACATGAAGATGTTTTTAAGACAGTTTGTTTCCTTCACATGGCTTTACCCGGTCACATCCGAAAAGAAGTGACCGTGACGCACTGCGCACAGATATACTTTACTCTCTCAAGATTACCAAAGTTTCGACAATCTCAAGATCATGATCTTACCTTTATACCTTAGGTTTGAGTCATAAAAAGTATTTCCTGTATCGCATTTTTCTTAATTGGTATTTTAATGCTTCAGAATGCAAAGCATGGATGAAGAAAAAAATCCCAAGCAATTCAAAGTTATAAATTATAAATGTTGAAACAATGACTCAGGATTCAAGTAAGATTATATTGTTTTCTTTTCTTTTTTCTCTCATGCAAATCGAATTAAATTCAAGCTGTCAGTTACATGTCAAACAATAGAGGGTTTTCCCCTCAAATGTCACGAGCTTATAAATAATGCCGCTACGGATTGCCAAAGAAAATACAAGCATAAAACATTTCTACCGCCGACGCATTCACATTCTGACTCAGACGACATGAATTGATCGATCATTACCGAGTATCTTTCACCAATTTTGAGCTTGATTTCACATTTAGCAATGGCGTCTGCCTGGCCTAGATTACGGCATAAATATTTACACACACGACTTGAATCCAAACGTGCTCGCTGACAGGTTAAACTGAAACATCTATGATTCACTTCTCTCTGATTTAGACTAACGACACGCTTACATGGGCATAACTCAAGATCGTCTATTTTTAATTTATTCAATATCCTTTCGGGGATTCCATTCACACGAACAATACAAGGAAAATGGCTTGTAGAAATAAGAATAATGATGAAAGGGAGGATGTTGGAGGCCCGGCCCCCCCACTCAGGTTTCGAAATGACCGCATGCGTGTTGCCAAAATGTCCTTTTCGTAACAAAAGAAAAAGGTCGAGCCGTATTGACTTTACACACCGGACTTTTGCTGAAAAGGGGGGGATGCTGAAAAAGGCTCGTATACAAAAGAAAAAGGTCGAGCCGTATTGACTTTACACACCGGACTTTTGCTGAAAAGGGGGGGTCGGTTGGAACACGCATATGCGTACCCTAAATAACACTGAGTGGGGGGGGGGCCGGGGTTGGAGGTAGGGCTATAGAGTGGGAAAGAGTAACTCACATGACACCAAGTCAGAGGTTTTAAATAGGCAAGTTTAGGATGCAAAGAAGAAGTTTAGCAAATTAGGTAAACCTAAAACTTCTGTATAATGTTTCACGGTGACGCCTGCGTAGTTCCCGACGAGTATCGGTTTTCTCCTCCCGAAAACATGAGGGAATCTTGTTAAAATTAGACAACGCACGAAAGGAGTGCTAGATAAATTTGTAGGCTTAATTCAACAAATTTATATATTTTCCAAGGAGTTTTGGTATGAAACAAGATCATCTTGATGATTGATCATAGTGAATAATTGTTATGAATAAAGAGTACATTGATAGGTATAATGATTGCGGATGTAAGCCTAGTGATATCATTTGCAACAAAATTACTTTTACAAGTGATATTTCATTTCCTTTTGAAATCTGAGACACCAAATCATCTTTTATTATTCTAACTTGTTATCGTCATTTTCTCTTGTGACAGCAATTGAACACATTATGAATTTATGCCAGTGGTTTTCCCCAAAGTCCTGGATCATCTTGTCGGCCATATTTAATGACTAATGACTACATGTGTATTTGTTGTTATTTTTTGTATCATCTCTACCACCCCCCCCCCCCCCGCCAACAACTTTGTTTTCTTTTATAATCATAATAATACATGTACAAGGCACTTCACACTCTTCAGTTCTTTTCTCGTACCCTCCCATTCTTCTGTGTTATCATAATGAAATAAGAACCAATATCAAAATAATGTAACGCGTCCATGCTCCGAAACTCAAATACGAGCACTGCCTCGGGTTTCATCATCTTCTTGAATACACAATATATTCAAGGAAATTGTCAAAAACTATACTGTAAGTGCCGATTCTAAGGCGTAATTGGACTTGCAAGTATCAAATCATGAAATTGCAAGTGACACAAAATGTCGCTCCAAAGCCGTAAAATATCAGTCTTCGAACATGATCGCGTCTGAAGCCCGGCGCAGATTGGATTACATTATCATAAATACCAAATTTCATAAAATGCAGGGAGCATGAACGGTGGGTGACTCATCAACTAAAATCTTTTGTGATAGGATGTCGAGACATATGTAATGACAGGTAACAGATCCTCTCATAGATGTGCTTCATTTTCATGTCTCTCTCAACTGCACTTCTTGGGTAGCAGTTCCCTTATTACCTCAATTTATACATTAAGTGATACGAATGGCACTGGAAAGTGGAAACTATATTTCCTCCCTTTGCTTTTCATCATGTTCTTCCTACAATGATTATGAAATTTCAAATCATCTCGCTGCCGCATCACATTTGCTTCCTCTCCCCCGCACATCTGATCAAGTCTGGTTAGCCCTGATGCATAAGCAATTACTAATGAACTTGACGATGATAACGTTTCCTTCTGTGAGTTTATCTGTCATGTCTTGTCAGACGTGGGCTCTTTTTGTGTGAAGGGGGTGGGGGGGGGGGGGGGGGGGGAGGGGGAGGGGCATATTACGGATATTTGTTCAGTTTGTTTCCGTGCTGTTAGAGGAGATGTCAAGAATTGCTTGGACTTTTTAAAGACTGTATTTGAAAGTCATCGCAAAATGCAGAATCTGATTCCTCTCCGTAGATTTGACACATCACAAAAATATTCATAATTTGACACAGCTTCAAAATGTGTTTTTACCGAAGATGAGAATAAGTGCAATACGAGGTCAAAGCAATGTTAATCAACATTCATTGGTTATCTCTGTAAATTGTTCACATTTGAAACACAGCTGCTCAGACATTCTTTTTTTTTTGCTTCGAAAAGACGAGCCAGGAACACACATAATCACACTTTATTTCCTGATTACACCGACTCAAGCATTTATTTTTCTTGGCGTAGATAAATGGCACCTGGGAAACACATCTTCATGTCTTGGACCGTATCGCTCTCTTTCTCCCCCTCTCTCTCTCTCTCTACGTATACATTAGCCCTTCTCTCTCTCTCTCTCTTTCGAACTTATCTCCCTTTTTTTCTGATTATCTCCCTCTTTCTCAATCTATCTCTTTCTTTCTCTCTCTTTCTCTATTTCTGTCTCCCTCTCTCTTTATCTCTCCATCTGTCTCCCCTCTCTCTACACATCTCTGATTTTTATTCTTCCTTTCTCTCATCGTCTCTCTATCTCTAAACCTCTCTTACATCTTCTCCGTCTCTCTACCACTCTCCATCTGTCTCCCTTCTCGATTATGTGCACTATGATAATTCTTGATTAAAGAATAAACAGCTACCCCCAAGATCGACAAAGGCCATGTTCTCTGTATAGGTTCCTACAAATTGAAATGCGACAAAAACACAGGAACGGTAGACGGGCGACTACAGCCACAGACAGGTTTCGGAAGAGGGGGTGGGGGTAAAAGACCACCTCCCCCGTGAAGAATACTTCTATATATACATGTATACAGGAAGAAACAAAAAGATCATTTAGCGGTGCTAAGCATTGCAAAATTACTTGACCCCCCCCCCCCCCTCCCACAGAAGAGCATGAAGGGGATTTCCCATTCCTGAAATCATGTTTCCGGGAAACCGGATTTCCCCACCCCTCCCATTATTTGCCGTTGTCTGGAGAAACTAATTATCGGTCTTAATTTCTTATTTTATTGGTTAATACTTTCTCTTCTGAAAGCTCCTTCCAACAACTTAACGGATGGACCGGGATTATCATGATCTCACTTCTCGCGATGTCAAACTTTATTTCTATCTTTCTTTTCTTGCTCAATTCTGTTTGCAACCTTTCCCAACCCATCCCCAAGAAGAACGTAGGACTTTATTTCTATATTTCTTTTCTTGCTCAATTCTGTTTGCAACCTTTCCTGACCCATCCCCAAGAAGAACGTTAGGACTTGTGTTCCGGAAACAGGAAGGAACCTCGCCCAGTCGATCCTTACTAAACATCTATGACGTCCTGTCGTGTTCTATTATCATGGCTACAAGCACCACTCCATAAAACATAACTCATGAATGATCAACCTGACATAACTTCATAATTTATGTATAATCAATCAACCTGTAACAACTTCAAGATTTCAGACTCTTAGCCTATTATTACATTGCGAAATAATAATCCAGATATAGCATTAAAACAGTAAAACAATTTGATTCACGCGATAGTGACAATCTAAAGATATTTTTAATATTCTTTATCAGATTTCGTACCTAATAGTTCATTTTGTGGAATTAGTTGACTAGTAAATCTTCTCATTCGTTGACAGTCGTCCAGATGTAGCATTAAAACGCTTGAATTAGAATGAATAAAAGGTATTGTCTAAATATTTTTTTGTATGTATTTAAGTACTCGATGAGTGTGAAACAAATTTAACTTTACCGAACAAAATTCTACATTTACTATCTAGCAAATCGAAACGGCTAAGTGTTCTTTTCATATCTTCAACCACTCGAATTCCCTTCATTACATTCAACCACTCATAAATTTTACACGAGATTGTTTTGTATCAACCCACAAGTTTCCTTAAGAACCAAGTGTTATTTTCATAAATACATAATACAAAGACAACGGAGGAAAAGCAGGAAATAAATCGACTGCAAAACCGTGATAACGAAATGGCGTATCGGCGACATTAAAAACAAACGAATGTTATTTCCGTATCAAAGTTGAAGATACTTGTGGTTTATGAAGTATCTTGAATATATTATATCAGCTAATCTGGCCTTCCCAATCATTCCTAAATAGAACTTGTAATGAGCTGAAAGCTTATCATTATTTTAAGACACTATCACTTTAAACACGGATCATGTTTTGTTTTTAGT